AAGTAACCAAATCTAGCAATGAATGAATATTAAAATGAAATGTGAAAGAACCTCAAGTACAAAGGGGACCAATAGATGCAATCTACAACTATGTTCACTCTTCCCTAGGCTTGCTTTGGGATGTTCAAATGAATTTCTATGAATTGTCAGGGGTCTGAAAGAAGTAGCACATTCTCTCATTATCAATGGGGATGCCTTCAAGGGCAGGTCTCAAGGGTGTAGGATCGAAGCTTTCTAGTCCATGGATGAGACCCCATCCAGAATGCCAGAGTGCTGAGACCAAGCCACTGAGAGGAATTCCAGAGGGCCCAAGGACTCCTCTGGTGCTGCTCAGAGTTTGGTGGGAAATATGTACAGGAAAAGAAGGTTAAAGAAATCCTGAAAAAGGTTTTATTTCCCAATTTTACTTCTGTCAGTCCCTGGGGACTAGGTGAATAGATCAGCACAGGTGCTTGAGAACAGGCTGCTGGGATTTGGAAGCCTCTGTGACTTTAGAGAAGTTATATAACCTTCATGAGCTTCCAGAGCCTTATCTATAAAATGAAGAGGTTGGATTCAAGGATGTTTTTACTACTCTAATATGTTAAGGTTTCATGAAGCAAGTCTTAGTTTGGCACCTAGAGAGATAGTTGGTCCACACAAAGTACCACCATCCAGAAGGAAATTGCCTTTGAGATCTGTTTCAGGAGTTAAGTATTTACCACAACACTTAGTGACAGACTTTGTTGGCTGCCACCTATCTGGATAGCCCTAGAGTAGATGTTGGCATTGTCTTCAGCTGGGCAAGTAAGGAAAGAGCTGCAGTGGCAAAGGAGAGACACGGGTGAAAAGTGACTTAGAAATAAGGCTATTCTCTCCATTCAACTCTCAGTCCCCAAACTGTGCTCCTATTGTGGAAATTAGACCTTTGAGCAGTGTTCCATGTGTTTATTCTACTTGTATCAAAGAGGCTTTCATCTCTCTAGAGCAAATTATTAACACATTCCACCAAAGTTGTGAGGGTGGAGGCCCGGCCTTGGAGAAAAAATAATCACCATCTTAATAAAGAGCTGCCCGAAATGTGAACTTAAGAAAAACTAACATAAAAACCCCACTTTTAATGACAGGGGTTGGCCAGGTGCCAGGTCTTTGTGCCCAGGGGAGCATGGCTGGCTGATTCCTTGTCTGCAGGCTGACCCTTATGTGTCCAGGAATTTTCCACTAGAAGGCTGGTGGTGTGGGAGGTGAGACCTTTGCAGGTTCAGCAGGTTGAGGCACTCACAGTCAGATGCCCTCAACCTTAGCTGGAAACCAGATTTTCTTGGCTGAGTGAGCAGTGACTCTAAGTTCCAGGATGTAAATCTTTGCCTCTCAAGATTATTTGGTTGGGAAGAGGAAAGAGAAAAAAAGAGAGAAAGGAAAACAGAAAGAAAGACAGAGAGAGAGAAAAGAAAAACCAACCAACAACTCTCAGATATAGCCAAGAGGAAAAACAGACTTGACATAAGCAGAACAATGTTTCAGTTTCACTAATGGATTAATCCCTAAGACAAAAGGCTACAAGGAAGAGTTTCTAGATTGAGATTATGGCCATTTTCTAAAGCAAGTTCACTTGATTTATAGGAGCCATTTGATGCTCAGGCATCTCCTTTGAAATACAGCTCAACTATATGGGGTAAACAGTCTAATGCAGAAGAGAATACAGTGAATTCTTTATTGCTGTTGAAAATAAGACCCAGGGTTCAGAATTTGTTTTTGTTTGCCTTTTAAAAAATGTTTCCAAGTAACACCAAAATATATGATATCTTAAGTGTCATGTTCGGTGATCATGACAACCAAGATTCATTAACAGCCACTAACATGTAGTTTGTCATTAGCATTGTTTTTCTCCCTTTGGGGCCAGATAAGGAGCAAAAATAACAAAAGAAACTGAGCATATAAGTGGGACTGAAATCCTTCAACCAGCTAAACAGCCAGTGGATCCCTGTGTAGAAACAGATTGGAATTTTTGGCACTGCTCTTTGTCTTCTGAAATTGAGAGTTTGCCTATGATGTAAGGAGTCACAGCTGATACTAGTGGAGAAGGATAAATACATTCTCTGATGACCAAAAACACTTTCATAATAAGAAGGAGTCTCAAAAATCTTACTGTTTCACCAGTTTTATATACAGATGTTTAAACTTTGGCTAACAGTGGTTGATTATCATTTGCTTAGCACTTGGCTGCTTCAGAATGCCCTTCACAATGATATCTGTATAATTATTTGCAATTAATGGATTCAGAAACTAAGGCTCAGCTGTGCATAATTTGCTCAATTTTCACTTTCTACCATCCTTACTCTACACCCATGGTTCTCAACAAGAGATGATTCTCTCCACCCCTAGAAGTTTGGTAATATATACCGATATCCTTGCTTATCTCAACTAAAAGGGAAAGTGCTATTGATATCTAGTAGGTAGAGGCCACGTGTACTGCTAAACATGATAGAATGAACAAGACAGCAGCTCCACCACTACCACAAAGAATTATCCATCACAAAATGTCAACAGCACCAAGGTTGGGAAATCCTGCTTTACATAGTCTCACTTTAAAGTTCCTTTCTGACTTCAACTGCTGTATCTATGCTGACAACTCTCAAATATATTCTATTTGCTTTTTCTAAAGCTGCATGCTCTCATTACTAAATGCCTAACATAGACCTTTACCTAGTTTTCATGTGGGTACCTTAAACATGACATGTTCCAAATAATCTTCTCCACGTCCTATACTCTGATCTTGATCCTTGGCCCTTGGGTTTGTCAAGCTAGAAACATGATTGCTATTCTTGACCTCTTCCTTCCTGTTCTCTTCCTCAGTTGTCTCAATCCAAATCACATGCCATGTGTATCAACTATACCTAAATACATCTGAGAGACATCTTTAGCTACTGGCTTCCACTCACACTGCCTTATCATTGCCCCTCATCACTTCTCAGGACAATCTCTATTGCCTTAACTTGGCAAACCATGACAGGCAGTTCTTAGCATCCATGAGGTCTTATCATCCCCATTTTACAGACAAGGAAATAAGGTGCACAGAGATTAAGTGGCTAGTTGATGAAGGAGCCAGGGTGTGAATCCAGGCCAGACTCTTTATCTGTCAACCACTATACTCTGCTACCTCTTGATTCATCATCTTCCACTCAGCTTCCACTTTTTCTTACATGAGTCATGTGCTCCAATTACTCTGAAGATCTCCTCACTTCTGGAACTTTCTAGGAATTTTCACATTTCTGTGCCATTGAAAATGATGTTTCCCCCATTTGGAATGTTCTTTCTTCCTTCTTGCTGGTTAGCTCCTACCCACCCTTCAAGATCAGCTCAGATTCCTTCAAGGTACGAATCATGTCTTCTTATTTTTTAATCTCTAACAAAGTATCTGATTCATAATAGATACCCCAAATATTTACTAAATAAAACAACTATTTCTCGTTCTACCACTTCCAAAGCAAAGTTATCTTGAAAATATTTTCCATTGAAAGCAGCTCCATAGATATCCCATTCTTGCCTCAAGGCAACAGGTCAGAGGTGAATGCTTGTGTGTGGGTATATATAAAGGCAAGATTTGTTATACTGACTATATAAGTTCGATATATACAGTATATTCTCACTTAACATCATCAATAGGTTCTTAGAAACTGACTTTAAGGAAAATGACATATAATGAAACCAATTTTACTATAGGCTAAGTGATATAAACAAGAGTTAAGTTCCTATGGCCTTTTTCTGGTCATAAAAACATCACCAAACTTCTAAATAAAGACCAAAACATTTATAATATTAAACGTTGAAGTAAATGTAAGCTATACACACATTTAAGAAAGATTAGTAAAAACAAGTCAGATAATTATTCATTCAATTATTCCAGTTTAGGGTCATGGGTGGCCAGAGCCTATCCTGGTAGCACAGGCATCAGTTGGGAACCACCTTGAATAGGATGTCATCCCACTGCCAGGTGCACTCACACATACCACACACTGAGACTGGGACCACATAGACATGCCAGTTCATCTCATGCGCACATCTTTGGGATGTGAGAGGAAACCAAACTATCCAGAGAAAAACTCATGCACACATGGGAAGAATGTGCAAACCCCACAGTCAGTGGCTCTGACTTAGAATCAGTTTTTTTACTCATCAACATTATAATGAAATGATGCCAAACAAAATGAGGTTATTCAAGGACCTGCTGTATTGTGTTGTCAAAGAGGTTACATCAGCAATGTTCTGAAGAGCATTAAACACTTCTAAGGTTTATGGGACCAAATTTATGCCTCAATTTGAAAATAAATCTCTTCTATGTAGTCTGTTCAAACAAAAATGTGTTAAAATGAGTTATTTATTTCAAATATTCATTTGAGAGTGTATAAGAGATTCAAAAGGATGTTTACATTGGAAAGTCTATCCCAAATTCACATTATTCTAACAACTTTCCTCTCTCTCTCTCCTAGCCCCTGATACCATGTGTAGTTGAAGTAAAGACACACTATGGTACAAGGATTTGAGGGCATTCTAATTTCTATTTTCATCATGACCATCATAAGGGATATGAGAAGACAAATATTTTCTGGCAAGCATCATTTTTTGTCATTTGCAAAAGAGAGAAATATAATATAGTTTTGGGGGAAAATCCTTTTGAAAGACCATAATTCAGAAACAAAATCTGTTTGTAGCCTTCTCTATTAATTCTGCCATAATATTATCAATTGGAAGATGAGGACAAAAACTGAATGTCAACAAGTAATATTTGGAACTAAGGGAATGGAGTCATAAGACCAATCAAACTGGATCCCAAGCATAATTTTACTATGGACAAAGAAAGCACCATCCAGAAGTTGTAAGAGCTAAAATGATAACTGAGCCCCTGCTCCTCAGAAGATGCAGAAAAGTGTAACAAAGGTAATTCTTCCGTATAAGGTTTAGTAACATGAGTCAAATCCTGCATTTTTTGTTAACATGACATTTTCTATCTCTTTTCTTACCCATGAGGTAACTGTTCAGGATGGACACATGTTTATGTGGGATAGTTCCAGCATCCTGTCCCCAGAAGATCTTAGGTTTTCTCTGAAAACACATAAAATAAAGTTGAAGTTATATTCATTAGGAATCTTTCTGAGGAGGTCCCAAGGTGTGAATAAATTTAATTCCAAACACAGTGGTTCTATGTGCAAAATCTGCAAACTTAATCTGTATTTACCCAGGGAAGTGAAAAGATCTATTTCTTTTGTTGTCTACATACCCCTTCATTAGTGCTGTAGCACCAGCTCTATTACATGGTGTTTTTTCTTTAGATAATTTCCCAAATGGCTTTGTGGGAATTTATTAAGTAAGTGTTCTTCTCTTACTGTCTTAGTACACTTGGGCTACTGTAGTAAATTATCACAGATTGACTGACTTAGATGACAAGCATTTACTTCTCACAGTTCTGGAGGCTGGATATTTGAGATCAGGGTGCCAGCATGGTCGGTGAGGGCCCTCCTCTGGGTTGCAGACTGCCATCTTCTCCTTGTATCCAGACATGGCAGGAGAAAAGTGAGAGCTCTCTGGGATCCCTTTTATGAGGGCACTAACTCCATTTATGAGGGTGGAGCCCTCATGACCTAATTATCTGCCAAAGGCCCTACTTCCTAATATCATCACATTGGGGATTAGGATTTCAATACATGAATTTTTGAGGGGACATAAACATTCAGTCCATAGCACTTGGGCATAACTCCTCAACCCCCAAAGAACAGATAAAATGGTTATGGATGCTGTTCTTGGTTTCTACTGCCAGGACTTTTGTTAATATCTCCTTCACATGGCTGTCCCCTGGGCCTAGAATGTTCCCCATCCACCTCTCTGCCAACCACTTCATCTAGTTCCCTGCTATCTCAGGTATCAATTAAAATCACAGCATTCTGGCAGCCTAACAGATAGATTAGGGTTTATACCATTCATTCTCAACCCTGGATACATATTAGAATCACCTGGGCAGCCAGTGATAAAAGTAACCAGGCCTACCCTAGCGCAACTACATCAGGATATCCAGGGTTGGTACCAATATCAGTACTGTAAAAAAAATACCCCCAGGTGGGATGGCATGCTTGAAGCTCTGACTTGGGTGGGGCAAAGGCAAAGGGGCAAAGGTAACCTAAACATTTGTACCCCTGTAATATGCTGAAATAAAAAAAAATTTTTTTAAAGATGTAATCTTAGCATTCTGGTAAGCCGAGGCAGGAGGCTCACTTGAGCTCAGGAGGTTGAGATCAGCCTAAGCAAGAGCGAGACCGTCTCTACTAAAAATAAAATTTAACAAAACAAAACAAAATAAAATAATTAGCCAGACAACTAAAAATGGAAAACATTAGCTGGGCATGGTGGGATCGCCTGAGCCCAGGAGGTTGAAGTTGCTGTGAGCTAGGCTGATGCCACGGCACTCTAGCCCGGGCAACAGAGCGAGACTCCATCTCAAAAAAAAAAAAAAAAAAAAAGATGATAAGTCCACAGGCAAGTACATGAAGTGAAAATTCTGGAAAAAAAAATACACCCAGGTGATGTCAATGTGTAGCTAATGCTGAGAAACTGTTTAGGACACAACCACCTACATATTTCCACAGTAATGCTGAGATCCTTGTAAATATTGGTTCAGGCCTTTTTTCCTCACACCTACTCCTACCGGACGGCACCTCATTATGGTCACCCTTGATTCTCTCTCACATCCGTCAGGAAACCCACCTGCCAATCTTGGCCGCTGCACCTTCCGGAACTGCCCTCATCCGGCTGCTTCCGGCCACTTCTGTCCACTTCCGGCCGCTGTGTAGCGCCAACCCTGGTAGAAGCTGCAGCCTCAGCTCAGCTGCTGCACCGACAACCTCTCCTCCGGGCTTTCTGCCCCTGTTCACTTTAGTGAATTCTGGACTTCATCGGTGGACAGCAATCCTGTTGAGAAGTAGGTCACATCACGGCACTCTTTAAAACCCTCAGGAGCCCTCATTTCACTCAGTAGAACCCAGGCACCTTCACAGGTTTTTTAAGACTCTGCATAAGCTGGTTCCTCGTTATTTCTGTCTTTATCTACTGCCAGGGTCCCTGTCGGCCCCTGTGCGCGCCGTCCTGCCCGCTTGAGTGTGGTCATGCCCTTTTCTTGGGGATTTCATTTTTTCCTCTGCCTGGAATCCTTGTCCCCAGTGTCCATACAACTATCTCCCTCGCCTCCCTTGGGGATTTGCTCCCAGTCAGGCACACCCCGGCGATCCTACTTAAGATGGCGATGCCCCACATGCCCTCCCCCCTGCCCGGCATCCTCCACTGTGCCACCACCACACGATGCATTTTATTTATTTGTTGTGTTTATTTCTACTTCCCCAGTTAGAATGTTTGATCAGTGAGGGGAGGGATATTTCTTTGCTTTTCTGCTGCTGTATCCCCAGGGCTGAGAACAAAGTCTGACATTTGAAAGGCTCTTGGACATATTTGTTGACTAGATTAATGAAATGAGGAAATAGCAGGTTCTTTCTTGCATAAAGGTACAGGAGGTATATAGAGCATTATGTGCTCTTCTTCCTTCACCTCTTAACCTTATTTCCATCTCAGCTTACATTTACTGCTTGTTTTTAAAACTTGGTATTTGTTAGCAGTGGCATGACTAAGGACCACATTCTAGTTAGAGTCTGCAGTGTTAATTCTTGGACTAAAAGGGCACCCTAGCATTGCTAGAACACAGCATCTTATTAGTGGCAAATCCATGTTAATAATGTCTTCTCTGTGTCTTGCATGGGTGGTATTCTTAGTTCACATTAGAGCTTCCTTGTTTGAGAAGCCGTAATTGAGATTTAAGATTCACCATTCTGACCGTCCATGACAAATATCCAAGAAAATTTTCCTGGATTTTGGAAATATTTTTAAGTTAGTGCTATTCACTCAGCAAAGCTCTGTGATCATAAGGTAGGTACATGGATCTCAAAGATATACTTCTCAAAAATGAGACATTTGTTATATTCTGATCTGCATCATGTCTGGATAAGCCACTGAGGCACTATAGGATGAAGAAGGCATAGATAATAAGCAACTGTAATGGCTAGAGTAAGAAAAGGAAAGGGATACAAGATGAATAAGTTTTGAAGGAAAATTAGGGGCTGGTCAGAAGCCTAGGGTGTAAATCAAACTTGGGGGCAGCTAGGCAATAGCTAGGGGACACTAAATGCCAGCCTGGGACTTTACCAACAACACAGAACACATGCTGTACAAAGTACTTTACAACTGACTCAGGCTAACCTCTTCATTGAGGAACTGAGGTCCTAAAAGGGAAAGTAGCTGGGCAGCCACTGAAATCAAACTTCTGAGTTTTGTTCAGGGCCCACTGATTTAGAGTAGAGGCAATATGCTGCCTAAGATTAGCTTAGGCACAGGTGTCCTCAAACTACGGCCTGCAGGCCACATGCAGCCCGCCGAGGACATTTATCCGCCCGCTGGGTGTTTTTGCCACCACTGCCTATCCTGCTTAGCAGCCCACTCATCCAGGGCCCACAGTGCGCATGTGTGGAATGGGTGCCACACTCTCCAATGGCCCTCCAGTGGTCTGAGGGACAGTGAACTGACCCTCTGTTTAAAAAGTTTGAGGACCTCTGGCTTAGGGTCTGCAGATGGTGTTGTGGTGGGACCATAGAAGCCTGGCAAATCATGTCAGGGAAAGAAAGGACCCCATATTTCAGAGGGCTCCAAGTACATCTTTCCCAGATGAAGTTGTCTGGCTATGTCCTAGATTGCAGCTCCCCTCCTTAAGGCTAAGAGTAACGATGAGTAAGTGATGGTGCAATTCTGGGTTGGGAAGGTTGAGGACCTTTAGGTGAAACAATGGGTTGGGTGGAAACTCTCCCAAAGTCAGAGCTGCTTATTGTTAATGTTCCTGCTGCAGCTGTTCTAGACAATGGTACTAAAGGGCTAAGTGTGGGTGTGTTCTTTCTTGACACTGACTGTGATAATGGCCCTCTTTTTAGACATTTTGGAGTTCATCATCACTTCTTGCACATTAGCACTCTTGAATCTTCTATTTTTGATGACTTCCAGCCAACAACAAGCCCTCCCATTTCTGTTCAGTTGCCTCATGGCATGGGTTGGAGTCCAACATAGCAGAAGCAGGGGTGGAGACTTGCTGCACAAGGGCCAATTTTCTTTTCTTGCAGCTCTCCTTAGTCCTCCCCTCTTGGCTGCCTCTCGGCTACTGCAACCTCCTGGACAGATAGTAAGGGCACTGTGGCCTTATAGATGGAGGGAATGTCAAGAACTTTAAGAGAGGGTCCCTATGGATATAAGTCCTTCATCTCACCATTCCCTTTACAGGCCAGTGACTTTGAAGGTCCAAAGCTGTCAAAAGGCTTCTCTAGAATGACAAAGCAAGCCCATACAAGGCTAGGATTAGCATACCTCAGTTTGGTGTCCTCAACATGTTCTTTAGTAGCATAGCTGGATTTGCTACAGTACTTCTCAGATTTTTGTTATCTTCAAAGGCCTAAAATCAAGGCAACACAAATATGAAGAAGAAACTCTGGTAGTGGGCTTCAGAGGTACATATTAACATGTTCTTTACTGACCTATTGGGGCCAATTCCAAGGTAAACCCAAAGAGGACTAAAAGTTAAAGACTAGGTTTTTAATGAAATATGAAAGTAATAGAAATAAATCATCTCAAACAAGGAAGCTGAAAGTCAATTTAAGAAAGTTATTTATGTTGATGAAGGGAATTATTATTCTCAACCCCATTTAGGGACAAAGTAAAAAGGAAATGGCTTGTGTTACTAAAGGGATCAAATGTAAAAGGACACCTTTAATATTTAGAGAAGTTTTTGAGAGAGACCATTGGATTTCTTTCTTTGGTGATATATTGATGTATAGATTTAACACAATCCAGGAATAGGTAATAGTCTTGAAAAAGAACAAAGTTGGAGACTAACACTTTCTAGTTTCCAAACTTACCATAAAGCTACAATAGTCAAGACAGTGTGGCACTAGCATAAGGACAGACTTATGAACAAAATTGAGAGTCTAGAAATAAACCCTTACATTTATACCACAAGTTGTTCACAGACATTTGGGTTCCTTCTAGTTTGGAGCTATTACAAATAAGGCTGGTATGAACATTTGTGTACAAGTTTTTGTATGGTTGTGTGCTCTCAGTTCTCATGGGTAAATAAATACCTAGGAGTGGAATGGCTTTATCAGCTAGTAAGTATATGTTTAACTGGGTTTTGGTGGGTTTTTTTGCATTTTTTTATTGTGGCAAAAAACATAATATAAACTTTGTCATTTTAACCATTTTTAAGTGTACAGTTCAGAAGTGTTAAGTATATTCATATTGTTATGAAACAGATATCCAGAACTTTTTCTGTCTTGCAGATATGAAATTATATACCTATTAAACAACTCCCCTTTTCCTCCTTCTCCCATCTCTTGGTAACTAACGATCATGCTATTCTCTGTTTCTATGAATTTGACTACTTTAGATACCTAATATAAGTGGAATCATACATTATTTGTCTTTTTTGTGACTGATTTATTTCACTTAGTATAATGTCCTCAAGTTTCATCCATGTTGTAGCATGTGACAAGATGTACTTTATTTTTAAGGCTGAATAATATTCCATTGTATGTGTATACCACTTTTGTTTATCCATCTATCCTTCAGTGGACATTTGGCTTGCTTCCACCTCTTGGCTATTGTGAATAGTGCTGCTATGAACATGGGTGTGTAATATTTAGTATATGTAATGTTTAACATATGTTTACTTTTGAAGAAACTGCCAAACTCTTTCCTAAAATGGATGTACCAAATTATATTCCAACCAACAGTGTATGAAGGTTTCAGTCCTTCCATATCCTCATCAACATTTGGGTGTGGTCAGTCTTATTAATTTTAGCTCTTCTAATAGGCATGTAGTGGTATCTCACTGTGGCTTTAATTTGCACTTCCCTAATGACTAATGACATTGAACATTTTTTCATGTGCTTATTGCTGTCTTTATATCTTCTTTGTGAAGGTTGAGGATCATTGGTGTAACAATGATTTGGGTGGAAATTCTCCCAAAGTCAGAGCTGCTTGTTGTTAATATTTTTGCTGCAGCTGTTTAAGACAATGGTACTAAAGAGCTGAGTATGGGTATGTTCTTTCTTGACACTGTCTGTGATCTAACTATGATAATGGCCCTCTTTTTAAATGTTTTGGACTTTATCATCTCTTCAATCTTTGGTGCATTTTTGAAATTGGGTTGTTTATTTTCTTATTATTTAGTGTGAGAATTAGTTCTTTTACATACTTGATTCAAACCCTTTATCAGATACATGATATTTTCAAATATTTTCTCTTGGTCTGTGACTTATCATTCTCTTAATGATGTACTTAAAAAGCAGAAGTTTTAATTTTTATAAAGTTCATATTATTAATTTTTTCTTTTATGGATCATACTTTTGTTGCCATATCCAAGAAATCTTTTCCTAACACAAGGACACAAAGATTTTTCCTGTCTTTTCTTCCAGAAGTTATATACTTGTAAGTTTTACCTTTAGGTCTGTGATCCATTTGAGTTAACTTTGGTATATTGTGCAAAATGAGGATCAAAGTTTAGATTTTTGCATATGGACATTTAATTATTCCAGCACATTTTCTTGAAATAAATTATCCTTTCTACACTGAATTACCTTTGTACCTTTGTCAAAAGTTAGTTGTCCAGATGTGTGGGTCTATTTCTAGACTCTCCATTCTGTTCTATTGAACTATCTTTACACAATTGCCACATTGTCTTAATTACTGTACTTTCTTAAGTCTCAAAATCAGGTAGCATTAGTCCTTCAACTTTGTTCTTCGTTTTCAAACTTGCTTTGGTTATTGTAGGTTCTTTGCACTTTCATATAAATTTTAGAATCAACTTGTGAATTTCCACAGAAAAGGGTCCACTGG